AAAATTGTAAAAAAAAAAAAAAAAAAAAAAAAAAAAAACAGATTATTGCCCATTTTAACAGTCATTTTAATTAAAATAATAATACTGTAATAATGAAAATTTGAAAATCACTAAAATGAAAATGTTTTACTTCTGTTTATTCAAAAATATTAAAGTATAATAGTTTTAAATAATAATTTATAAATTAAAAATTCTTGAATGCAAAGGAAACTCTTTGCTTTTTACAATGCAACGTTTGGCGATTTGATAGAAAATTAAAGTTGCCAGATTTTTGTAGGTAAGTTTGGCGGGAGATTTTCTATTAGATTTAATCATTTAAGCAAATGTGATAAATATGTAATGCATCACGTTACTATACAATACTACTATGACAATATGCAAAGAATTTGAAAGATCTTTGAAATAATTTACAACTTGACATGGTTCAATGAAAGAGAAAATGTCCAAAATTGAAGTATGTAAAAATATGTAAAAAGCTTATCCAAAAAAAAAAAAAAAGTTAAATTTCTTAATGGAATCAATGAAAGAGAAATCCAGTTTTTAATTATTAATTTAACGAATATAGATCAATTTTAATTTATTTTCTAATTTAAATATATATATTCCAAACAGAATGTCTCAGCAAGAGATATCAAACAGTCTTGTGGTAAGTTAGATATTATAATTATTTTTTTATTATACTTTGAACTGGTTTCAGATAAATAGCATGAAGGGATATTACAAATTGGAGTGCACACCTGTTGTGCTATTTGCATCACTGGTGGAAAATGCATAACTTTACAGAGCATTTGGGCTAGTTGCATCAGACCCTGTTCCTAGCAGGAATGTGCACTTCACTATGTTTCATAATCTTTAGTTTATATTTTTACTAATTTGATAATTAATAATTACTATGTTTATTTTTTTTCTCATTTTATTTTGTGATTTTTTTGATTTTGTGACATTTGTTTATATACTGTTTGTACTAATTTTATTGCAGTTGTTTCAGCTTTAAATTTTCTAAAGAATTTTTGTGTTTTCATTGCAGTTCACTGTATTAAATTTTTGATGCTAGTATACAGGATGTAATAAAACTTTGTGTGAATATTTTATGAATAGATTCTAGGATCAAAAATAAGATTACAGTAGAACCCCTCTAATCCGTCACCTTTGGGACTGGAGGTATGGTCGAAACGCAAAAAAGGTCGGATTATCAGAAAAAAGTAAAATAAACAATCTTCCCTTTGTCCAGTCTTTGTAGCACTGCTAATTTTTCATTTAATGAAAGAGTAACGTATTTACGTTTCACTCCTGACATGTTGAAAACACACACAAAACTGTACACATACACACAATGTAAAACATATACTGTAACGAACACAGAAGAACACCACGGATGGTGAGTCACTAACGAGTCGGGACAAGTTTCTCTACTCAGACCACGGTTAGATTAACCGGAGTGACGGACTAGCCGAGGGCGGACTAGAGTGGTTCTACTGTATATCAAAATAAGCTTAGAATCCTCTGTAAACATTTTTCAAAATACACTGTTTTCAAGATGTGACCTGCCAAGTAAAAATACTTTTTCAAATTCCTCACCAATATACTAACCCTAAGAATTGTCAACTTTTTAAAGTAATCTTGTAGTTTCTTTTTTTCTTTTATGCTTCTATCAATGGATTGATAGAAGCATTATTTATCTTAAAATTCTGATTTTGTTGTTAATACAAATAACTAAATTTAACATGATCCTAACCTTTTTTTGGATTTATAAGCTTTCATTATTAGAATATTAAATTGATAGTGCTATTGACAAAGCAACTATCTGCACTAATGAGAGTTTGGCAGTTATCATGTAAAAAAAATTGGCAATTCTAATGATCAAGTCCAAGTATTATTGATGTTATGATATTCTGTGTGTTTGTGATTTTAAAATTATTGTTAAAAAATGGATATACTGTAAAAAAAATAAAGAGAAAATACCTTAATTCCATAATGATAACAGGCTTGTTCCAAATGACCACATGTTAACATTGCTGTCCACAATTAAAGCAGTTAATAAAATTATATTTTTCAATATATGAATGTCAAATTTGTCTGTTCTATTAATTTTAAAACAAATTATTAAATTTATGCTTAAATAAAATTAATATTAAACTGAATAAATAAAATTACTGCTTATTTTAAACCAATATTTTATATTTTTAAAAGAAATAAGTTTTGATCAAAATCTGTCTGAAAATGTTTCTTTTGATGGAAAAAAAAAAAATAGTATTGACTTCTTGTAAAATCAGTAATTTTATTTAGGCTCACTTATTTATTTATAAAAGTGGAGTCAAACTTTTTAAACTTCAATTTTAAATTAGATAAAATAAATCAATAACAGAAGTTTTATTTTTATCTAATTCTGTAATTCTTCCATAAATTTTAAATAAAAATGAATGTTTTTATTCATTTTATTCATAACAATTTTCAGTTAATTTTGTAAGCTTTTTTTCCAGGTTTGTTTGTTTTTATTTGTAACCTTTTCAGATATGCTTGACTTTTGTATTTTCATTTCATGTTTGATTTTAAGAATTAATGTTTTTGAACACATGAAATGGTTTTAAACATTATTTATCTTTAGGAGAAAATACTTTTACAATACAAAACATTATAGTTTTTTTTTTTATGTAAATTAAGAAAATTATGAAAAATTTTCAAATATTTGAAATGGATTCTGGAAGCATTTATTTTTATAGCTAGATGTTAACAAATTGAACCTATCAATTGTATTTAAAATACTAAACATCAAACTAACTGTATTAATAAGACAATTTGTGAGCTTGTTCTTTTGTTTGGTTAATTTTAATAGTTAGGTGTTATTTAATTTATTTCATCAAATATATGATAAATGAAAACATATTTCAAATTTGCAATGTTTTATTGTAAATATTTTGTGTTTGTGTAAGGAAATACTTTCCAAAGTTTTTTTTTTAATTAAATTAGTTTTTGGTTACCATGGAAGTTCACAAGCACATTTCAGTTTTGCATTANTGGAACTGAGACTTTTTATGATATAGGAATTGTTAAACTAGTGCCTTATCCAGTGAAGATGGAACATTTTAAATGTGTTTCACAGAATGTATCGTTGGAGTTTAAGCTGATTCATTATCATCCTGAGTTTTTAGTATCGGAAAATCGAAGCTACGACCTAATATTTGATCGTAATACTGGAATGAACCAAGTTTTCATACACTATAAGGATCAATTCGTCTATTTTCAAGATTTATTCCCAGGGACGTAGGCACGGTGCGATAGCGCTTGCCCTACCCTGGCTCATTTATTCAAACGAAAAATTATAGGTCAATAAGTTATAACAGTATTGCGTGACAAGAAAGCATGTTTGAATTGTGACGGGAAGACGCTATCATGTTGGTCGGTGACGGGAACGCTCTCTGGTGAACGAGTGGGGAACTGGCAGTTCAAGGTCTGGATGGTCTGTGGTAAGACTCGAAGATTATAGAATGTTGGAGGTTCGGATATAGCGAGAAAGTTCTAGAACCTTCTGTTCCCTATTTAAGCGCTGCAATCAGTGTGAGTGAGTCAGTTGAGTGAGTTGACGCATTTCAGCTTGTTCAGACAGTGGCGTACCGTAGTGGGGGCGGCAGGGGCGGCCCTCCCCGGGCGGCACTTTTTAGGGGGAGGCAAAATTTCACAAAAAATAATAATAATATCTTGTAAAAATTTGAAACATCCTAATCTATACTTGCATCGCGCCTACGATAGTGCTATCGTCCGGACAGTCCGGGAATCGGCTCGCCGGGTGAGCTAGTAGCTTTTTCATCGGAGGAATTCCTGCGAAACCTGTTGACCTTTTCTTTACTTTTTTTTGCTTGTACGATTCATTCGCGTTCATATACACCACTAATATCCAATAGAACTATTTTAATTATACTTTCTATTTGCAAAATTTCCTCAACTTTAACACAAAATAAGAAAAAAGTGAACTTTTAAGAAATTTACGAGATTTCCAGGGTTAAAAAAACAGCCGGGATCCCGTTTGAGAAACCCTACTGGAGGCACCGTCCTTCCAGATTGTCCATGTATTGCATTGTCATCAAACCATCTATCTTCTAAATTAATGATTATTTACAAATGAAAAGAGGAATTTAAATCTTTCTCGAGTACTTATAGTTCAAACCAGCATTTTAGTCCATTTATATTTCAATACATTAAAACATATCCAAAATAAATGGCTTAAAATGTCGGTTTAAGTGCTTTTTCTACTTGCCCACTGGTGAGTTCTTCAATCTTGATCTTCCTCAAGAGTCACGTCTCCTCAAAGCTTGCACCCAGGGCCGGATTAACCCACTTTGGGGCCCTAGACATTTTCTTCTTACGGGCCTCCCCTTTCTCACACTAGAAATAGAACACAAAAAATATAAAACGATAAATAAAACAAAACTAAATAATGTGAAAAACTAAAACAAATCTTAAATTTTTATTAATAAAAAATATTTAATACACAACAATAAATTTTAGTTTTTCTAGAAAAGTTTGAACAGTTTGTTTATAAATTTAAAATATTGAAATTTGTTTTATTAAATGTCTAACAAAAGTTGTAAAATAACAATATTACCTTAAAAAATAATTGTCAACAATACTATGTCTTGTTTATAAAATCGTACTGCTTGCTGTGTTACCAGCTTAGAGGTATGAAGGAGTACATGTCAGGAGTTGCAATTTGGCACAGAGTATTAAGTGCCCAAATCATGCGCGCATAAAAAAAC